GCCAGTCATCCCGCCTCGATGGAGCTGCTGCACGCCCACGCCGCCACCATGACGGAGAGGCGATCTCATCGATTCTAGTCACCTTGCGACGCGAGGGAGGACCGACGATGTCTGCCGTCACCCTGTGAACCTAGCCGTCTTATCGGTTGAAGCTCTAGCCTACCCTAGCCTCTACGTGACCGTAGTCGTGCCCTCGTTGGAAAATCGCCGAGCACCCCATCACGGTGCTGACTCTGCCATGGGTTTTGGTCACCAGTGCCGCCCCCGTTAGCGGCTCTATGACCACAATTATGAAGAAAGGGAGCCAATTTGGGCTCTGGTTACCCAAGCCACCGCACCGCCATATGCGCCCTGTCCGCCGCCGCCATGGCCAGTGTCGACAAGCCAAAAGGCCCCACCTTGACCCTATACTGTCCTCGCTGGAGTACCCCAGAGCACCAACGAACAAAGAAAGATCCTAGAAGCCATCCTTGGACCTTGGTTGAGCCGGCCGCAGCGCCGATGAGCCCGCTGCACCTGCCATCACCATGGCCGGCCATGTCGAGCCTCGAGGAGTAGACTTTTGGATGCTGTCGCGACCGCCAAAACATGAGGGGACTTTAGGAGGCCGCAGCTGCCCCGCTGAGCCACCGTAGTGCCCCGCCGTGTGACATCATCGCCGGCGAGCCCTTTGGAGACCCACGTCAAACACCTAGAGCAGAGGAGAGCGCCCTCCCAGTCCGTCCTCGCATGCCCCGGGTGCACCATGCACCGCATGCGTGAGCACCCACGTGAGTAGGGTCCACCGTGGACTAGAGGAGGTCCACGGTGCACCGGCCCCTTGGTCCACTATGAGCCCGTCTTATGCACGCGGCCCGGTTGAGATCCAGACTGAGAGACCGACACGTGTCCGGGCCAGGCCGGCCCAACCTGGCCCACTGGGGCCAGTCAAGCCCAGTCAACATTGATCGTTGACCGGTCAAGGCTAACCGTTGACCCGGTCCCACCTGTCAGTCGTCGTGGCGCCGGGTCCCACCAGTCAGTGACCATTGCGTGTCGCCCAATCAGAAGCCGCCACGTGTCAAGCCCTGGATTTTTTAGTCTTTTTCTTTTTTAGAAAATAGATTAAACTTCAACAATTCATAGAAAATTCATATGATTTCAGAAAAATATGAAACCAGTGTCCAAATTTTTCTAAAATCGAGTCGCTTATCGTGGCTTTTTGTCTTGTTTGATAGATCTGGAGGAGCCATTGACTGAGGAGGACGACCCGGACTACATAGAGGAGCTTGGAGACGACCTGACCGCAGGTGCCACATCCCACCCAACTTCGTAGAATCTTAATAGACATGCAATAATATAGCTGCTAGTGCTTGACTTTCTGCAATTACACTATGATAGGTTGCATGTTAGAATTGCTTGAAGCCATTACCTTGATGCAACCTTTACCCCTGCACACCCGTTGATAGGCTAGTCGCTCGCTTACTACTTGCTACTTACTTCTACTACGCACTATATCTGTGATGTGATGTTTGGTGGAAGAATGAATGTGAGTGGTTGTGGCACCTGCTGCCGATAATATGGTAATAACATGGGGAGATCTTGGCGTGTGTCTTGGGTGTGTGGTGAGGGTCGGGTTGACCGAGTAGGATTCTACGATGAGTCTTGCCAGGGGTGTGTGACCTGGGCATCCCCCGTGAGAGGTACCTGTGGCGGGTACATGTGAGATGAGAAGGTCTCGGGGAGGAGTGTCTTCGTGGGACGAATCCCCGGGATGGAGGTGTTGTTGAAGCACGGGGTGTTGGTTATCACCTTTGTGAAGATGTCTTGTTCGGTCACCCTAAGGACTTATATGTTCTGGGAACCGGTTCATAGGAACCCTTGCACCCCACTCGCTCCTCAATGGAGGGGAGACGGATGACCGACCAGTTAGGGCGGTGCCACTACTACTAGGTTGATAGTGGATAGTGTAGGGAGGTACAGGCTAGCGGCTCACACCCTCCAAAGACAGCGTAGTAACCTCTGGAGGCCTAGTACTACGTCTCACAGTCTCAGCATGCCGGTGGACTCCGAGGTGCCCCAGAGCTGAGTGGTAGGGTGGCATCGTACTAGTTGGAAGGCAGCTCGGAATCAGCCTAGACGAGCCAGTTCATCGATGATGGTGATCTTGTGGATAGTGTAAACCTATGTAGAGTTTTGGTTGATCGATCGATACATATGCCATCTTTTCGGCTATGGACCTTTCCTATGTTACTGCTTCACTTGACTAGAGAGAGGAGTCCCTTCTTCTTCTTCCCCTGGGTTGTTACTGGTTTTCAGCTTTGGCCGTTGAGGCAAGGCATGAGAGGGAGTTGTCCTTACCGCCTAGAGAGTGAGAGTGTGGTGAGATATGTGTGCTGGGATGGGAGAATGTGTGGATGAGATGGGTTAAACTTGGTGAATTACTATTAAAACTTGATTATACTCGCATAGGAAACCACAACCATAAATAGGTCTTTTGCTCTACCCTTGCATTCCACTTTCTACAAAGCTATCGCAAAGCATAGGGTGTGAGCCAGTGGCCAGTACAAATCGTACTAAAAGTTATTTGGTAGGTCCTGAGACTGAGTACGACTACCAGGGAGACGACTAGGAGGATTAGAGGTCTTGTCCTATGCTCGAGTTTGGTTGGAGGAGATGAAGTCTGCGTCCGCTGTCGTTCTATTTGATGCTGTTCCGGATGCTGTGTGCTCTGAGTGATTCCTCCAAGTGGCGATGTAATAATGAGTAAACCTTGCTATTTGTACTTTGTAAGACATGTATTTGATGTATGACTTGTGATATTGACTATTATCTGATAATGTGATGGAATGATCATCTGAGACTATTGCATTATGGTTCGAATATGTGGATTTCCCTTCGTGGAAATCGGGATCGTTTCAGTTGGCCCACAAGTTTGGACCTAAAGGTGAGAACCTTCGAAACAATAGACACAAATACTGAGGCAACAAGGAATATGGTGGTTGGTCAATTAACCCTCTCCTTTTTGGGATCCAAGCTCCCCTTTTTATAGTGTATGGTTGCATACAATTCATTCTACCCAAATGCCCTCTACCTACTACAGAACATGCTGGAACATTCTTGTGGTTCTTCATAGTTATGGTTATAAGGGCTTTTGGAGGCATCCCCCCTCCAAACCGCCTTAGCAAATGTGCTCTTGGACCGTCTTTCCTCGGCTGGGGATATGTGGGTCCACCTTGGGTCATCTTCTGCGAAGGCTTCCTGGGACCTTCGTGGTCGTGATCCAAAGGTTCCCTCTATAGCCCTCGCAAGTGCTCCCTCGCATGCTCCCGCGTCCTTAAAGACGTTCGGTCTCTCGAGACCTTCGCTGTGGACCTTCAGGTGGGTGCCTCGCGGGACCTTTACAAATTCATCTTTCGAAGGCTCTCGTTCGATGCTTTCTTCCTGCAACATACAATAGACAACTTCCAATCGAGTAAAAGGTCAGGGTGTTGGTGGACCCTCGAGGGTAGGGCTTCGTCCCAACAAATATCCGATGCACTCTTAGTACCTTGCACCAGAGAATTCTGGTGATACTATTGCAGCTACCTCGAACTCTGATCCCTGCTACGCTATCTTCTAGCGCTTCCTGGAATCACACCGGAGAAATCCGGTGGCTACAAACAGCCACCAATATTGAGCTCCGTTCTTTGTGTCTTGTCGTTCGGGCTTTGTCTTTTTGATGTGTTGGACTTTTTGCAAGTCTTCTAGGGTCTTCAATGCTGCTCCATGTCCTTTCTTATTGATTACTTGATCTACACACATTGCCTTTTCCATGTCCATCTATACATCCATTTGAACTAAACCTTGTATACTAGCGAACAACACTAGTTTAAAAGATCGTGTTTTTCATGAAACACCAAAATCATATAATGACCCAGACCCATGCAAGGTGCCATTTTCCTTACAAGCTGGAAAATGACATTACCATGTAAATATATTAGTTGGTTTTTAGAATTCCTGCACATCAATTGTCTTCTTCATGCATGCTCTCACACTGAACCATAGATGGACATACAAATGTCTAAACTGAATCAGGAATGATAGATAGTATAATAGCCCTAATAATAATCATGCACAACTAGATAGGTGTACGAGTAAGTAATACTTGGTTAGACACAAAGACACAAGACATACTTATTTGGACAGCTTACCATGGGATTACCCTGAGAGTATTGTATACTGACAGGATAATAGGAATTTTTCTGTGTGGTACGCGAACCCACAGATTAAATTTGTAATCTCTGTGAGCCTTTTAGACCTGTCATAAAAAATAAGTGGCACACAAAAAATATACAGTTCCAGTAGTGCCAGGACAAATGCCGAATTCAATGATATGGACAACAATACCAATTGTAGTAGTAGTTCATTCACCAACAAATTACAACCGAAGACCAGCCGGTCCGTACGCGTTGTAGTAAGTAATAGTAATATGCATTCGGAGATGCGCGCTTTCGTAATTTTATATACTACTTGCTCTCGTGTCTCAAGCGCGTTGTTTGCTCTCGTGTCTTAAGCGCGTTGTTCTTTGCAGCTAGCTAACCACTCCACCTCCACTAGTGCAGGCAGTGCCGTGCCTTGCCTCTCGGAGGAGCTAGTCTGAGTGTACACACGGACACACGGTAGTATTTGGTTGGGCTCTTTGACACGGCCATTTTGTTGTTTTGTCCTTTGAAGAAACTTGGTAGTTTCATCAGTTGACCCCATCGTCAATGAAAATATAATGACGGTTGATCAATAGATTACAGGGATGCTTTTTGAACCTCTCGATTCTCTATCTCTGCTCCATGCACGTCTTATATACATATATACAGAGCATACGGCATGGTCCTCCTATGTGTGGGATCGGAAGAAGCTAGCTTGGATACACGGTACGTACCTCTAGCGGTCTAGTCAGCTGCTAGCTAGCTTCTCATGAGATTTGACAATAGTGCACGCAAGGGATTTGGCCACTAAAAAAGCTAAGGTGCACAAGCTGGTCCATGGAAGCTGCCATCGAAACAATCGAGTACGACGTAGCAGAAGAAAACTACGACGAATTCATCGAGGTGCTCCGCACGGTGCTCGCCGAGTACGAACCCGTCGGCGACCGCCAGAAAGTGGTGGACTTCCACCACGCGCCGCACCCGGTACTGCCACGGCAACGCAGTCCTCACCGGCCGGCGCGGTGGATCCACGTCACCCTGCTAGTCCGTAACGAGGGCCACGCAACGACCCTGGCAATCCGCGACGACAACGTGTACCTCATCGGCTTCCGGAACCGGCGGGGCCAGTGGTACGAGTTCGGCTTCGGCGGCGGTAGGAGCGCGCGGGTCCTCCCGGTGGAATGGAACTCCACCTTCCTTGAGTGCGACGTCAGCTACGGCGGCATCGTCGGCGGCGCCATGAACCTGGTGGGGCTCGGGCTCGGCAGGTGGTTCGCCAGGGACGCCGTGCGCCGGCTCTCGGCCTACGAGCAGGCTCCGGCGGGCGGCGGAGTCGACGAACGGACCCGGCGGCACCTGGCGCGCCTCATCGTCATGGTCTGCGAGGCCGCCAGGATGATCCCGCATTTCGAGACGGTGCTCGATGGCTGGGACCGCTGCACGGGCGCCTTCGCCGAGCGGCAGGTGCACTTGCTGTGGAACTGGAAGCTCATGTCGCACGCCGTGCTGCGCTGGGACTGGTGGAACAAGTACGGGAGCGGGACGCGGCGGTATACGTATACGTATGTGTCGTCACATCCTCCGGCATGGCCCCCGGAGCTTCTAGCTCCGCAAGTTGATGTCAGGAACGTGGGACAGGCACTCCAGGTAGTGCAGCTGCTGCTCAACTGGTCGGGCCCGAGGGCACTAGGGTTGTCGCAGCCGCCGCCACCACCTCAGGATACGGCGGCAGACGGTGACAGCGGCGCCGACGACGGCGACATCTTGAGGCACTGGAACGACGATTCCACCATCGCCCACGTCCTCGGGCAACAAGGCCACTGCATGCTGGAGATGTTCGGTATGCACGCTGGTTTCTACATGTGCGGCACCATCTCGGTCTTCGACGGGATGCGCGGGCAGATCATCTACAGCAAGGACGACAGGCCGGACGACGACGACCTTGGAAGAAGAACCATGTTGGGCTCACTGGATTACGATGATGATGGTGACAGTGACACTCATCAATATGGACGACATTTCGGCGAGTGGATGTTCGCCCACCTGCGCTCCATCTATGATTGGACTGCACTTCCTGGCTGCTGGAGCCGCCACAGCCAGACCAAGACGATCACCAGCAAGCGGGAGAACGGGTCGATGCTGGTGAGTCCTCGTCTACACTATGCACCCACCCTAGTATAGAATATTACAGTACGGTGTTTGACTAAAGAGAAAATTGTGAATTACTCCATATTTTTTACAGGTTCTCTTTTTAACTGTACTAGTTAGTTGTATTTGATTGTTTTCTGAAATAGCGTCAAGATTCAAACACCTCAAATATTGCTGTCGGTTTATCGGCATCTGACTGAATGATGTTTTTTCTCACGTATCCAATTCGACCAGGGTCAAGATCTGGTGCTCACTGGACCCTACAGGGCCATCTCCTAGTACGGGGGCGTCTCCATTGAAATTGACAGCTCCACGACAGAGACAGACTCCAACGTTGAACTTGGCATCTCCACGACAGAGACGGACTACGTCAGAATCGACATCTCCAAGAAAGATGGCCACCGCCGTAGCGACGGCAGGACGACGACGTCGCTGCTCTGGGATTGCTACAACGACGACGCGAACTATGCAGCCTACGACACGGTGTTGACGCGGACCATCAGCACAAGCCATGGGCCCTTGGAGGTGACCTACGCGGTGCTGAGTAACGCGGTGGAAGCCACCGTGCAGGTCAGGCTCCTGTTCGCTGCCGAGCAAGGCGCCGCCGGCGACATCCTCGTCCATGGCAGGATAACTGCCAGGTGTCGAGATCTCGATGCCCAGAGCCTGCTCTTCTGCCAGGACGCAGAGGAGAGAGTGGCTGTCACCCGCGACTCCCACGTCCCCTTGTTGCGGTCCGTTGTTGCGGTGCCACTCACTTCGCACTCGCAGCTCCTTATAGCGGCCGCCCTGCACACTTCGGTCGCTTCTTGTAACCACACGGCGGCTGAGGGTCCCCTCCCTGAACCCCTCGTTGCTCGTTTCCGCCCTGAACCCTCTGGACAGGAGGTGCAGCGTTTCGGCATCGACAGCGGTCAGGTCGAAATCAAGGTCATCTGGGCTCTGGACTTGTGATGCATCAGTTCATTTCTCTGCTAGTTCTATATACGTCTAGTTAATTAGCAGGTGGTATTCCAAGATACAGCCATGTAACAGCCTGTTTGGTTTATGGAGGGATCTCATCAGGAACGAGTTGACGCCGAATGAGGTGGTCCGATGGATTCTCACGGAATGACTCGGTGACGGACTTGTGCACAGAAACAAGCTTACTCGGTAAGGGATGGGTTGGACCCATGACATAAACGAAATGTGGTCGCTAGCTTCGTACTCCCTCCATTCCGAATTATAAGTCATTCCAAGAATCTTAGAGAGTTAAAGTATCTTAAGTTTAATCAAAATTATAGAGATAATTACAAAGATTTATGACATGAAATAGGTACACTATAAAAATATAATTAATGAAGAATCCAATGATGCTTAGTTGGTATCATAAATGTTATTACCTTATTATATACATTTGATCAAATTTGAGATGCTTTGACTCTCATGAAAGTTTGAATGACTTATAATTTGGGACGAACGGAGTATTTAGGATCGGATCATTCCGCAACTGTGCATTCCATGAACCAAACGCGTTCAATGCTCCCTCCATTTGAAATTGTAAGCTGTTTTTAGTTTTGTCCCTAGTTAAATTGACCTTCTCCAACTTTAATTAAGTTTGCAGAAAAATGCACAAATCTTACTATTACTAATTGGAGGCCCCAACGGAGCCTCCACGTTAATTCTCACCAGACGCGCTAGAAAGAAAGATAAATACAAGAAATTCTCACATTAATTAATCAGAAACATCAAACCATCAAGTCAAAAGACCGGCGATCCGTAACCATTAGATCTATTACATTTTTAAAATTAGCCACCTCTGCTATTATTATATATGAAAAGAAGAAAAAAGATAAATATATTATTTGAAAATCTACATACTGTGTATACCTAGAAAAAAGGAAAGATCCATTATTTTTGTCTTCCACGTCCAATCCCGCAGGGCTTCTAGCCGGGAGACCAAAATACATGTAAGTACTAGGTACCAAAGAATGAAGGAAAAGACAAATCAACTATTATTTCCCTACCACCGTCCCAGGCTGTTTTAATAAAAATAGTCTAATATATCTAAGTACCAGAAAATATTATATTACGCAACATGCATGGGCTCCAAAGGGCTCAGAATAACTGAAGGGATAATATAAAGCAAGTGCCAAGATATTGTGAACAGATCAACTCTTTGTGTCGATGACACCGTTGGCCGCCGGAACAGCCAAGGTGCACCGGCCGCTAGGAGTGCCCCAAACTACAACACTGTTTGCCACCGAAACAACCAAGGTGCACCTACAGTTAGGAGTGCCCCAAACAACACCTGCCGTTGTCGCCGGATTGTGACCCCAAACAACACACGGTAAGCATGCAGGTGTATCCCATATACCACAACTATATTTGAATCAATGCCAGAAAAGGGATCTAAGACATTAGATTAGTGTCACTAATACACCTTCCAATTTAGGATCTAATTCAACATTCTAAATTCAAAAGAAAAAGAGCAACACGAGAATATATCTACTTCCACGTGTTTACAATCTTGAATTTATAGCCAAATGAATTGTGGTTCATATTTTACTTCAGAGTTTTTTGTGCATAATTAATCATATCCCTCAATATCGATCAACAAAACATGGAACATCGGCGAGAAAGTTTGGATAACATTTTAAAAGAATTTTATAGCAAAATTGCTAATGTTTCAAATTTAAGTAAAGTTTAACAAGTCAAACATGCTTAATCAACCATCGGCGAAAGCCGAGAGGGTTAAGATAAGGTCAGGGTTAGTATCATTGTTTAATTTTTATTTTTTTCTCTTTATTTGATCTATTTATTCAACATTCATCTAACCGAGTCTAAAATATGGGCAAATGATGGCTTTAGATAAAAACAAGGGTAAAATCAAAGTGTCGAGGAAACGAGGCTAAAATCACAATTGGCCTTCAAAGGAGGGGCAAGAACACCAACCTCCCTTCTTATAATTACTAGCTTGTGCAGCAGCACTAGTTAGGCCTTCCACAGCGTGTTGACTAAGTGATGCCAGGAGATGAAAGAGAAAATTTAGGAGTCACACAATACACTGCAAGAGGAGATGCCAACTTCTAGTGGTGCCTGAAAAAGTGGGAGCGAGGCAAGTAGTTGCGTCGCTGCTTGATTGATTAAAAAATATTAATCTTTGTACATGAATGGCAGAATCTCCGTGCGTCCGTGCTATTTAAACTAGCACAAACACTATTTTATTTAAACATCTACTGTTTGAGGCAGCAGACAAGAGATAGCTTCGGTTCCTCACACTGCAGCCATAAAGTACTCGATGCCTGATACTGTTTGTAGGACATACCTTTTTTATGGCACCACTCGCCCATTTAGGCCCTCCACAATGGAGCATTGATGCCAAAAAAATTCTTGGGCCCCACGTTTTATTACTGGCATTACTCTTTGCGTGAAACGGTGGTAGGGCATCACTATCGTACCAGCTAATTCTTATTCTATTGAGCTAGCACTGGCGGAACTACTTGCACCGCTCCAAGTTTTTCTGGCTTTACTGGACATTAGCATCCTAGGCTGCAGTGTGGGGAGCGGTGCCCAAGTCTTCTCTCTCCTTTCCTGGCTTCACTTAGGCCACACACTGCTGACGGCCTTAATGGACTAGGTGGATCTAACTTGCTTCTGATTACTCACCTCTGCCACTAGAATAATTTAGAATAACACCTGAATTTGTATCCAAATTATTACCCATCATGTCTCCTATTATGAAAACAAATTAAGTTAACTCTAAATCTATATTTAAATTACCTAACTTTGATATTTCAAAAATAATTAAAATATACACCTAAATTACACACCTATGCTATTATAGAAAATAACCTAAAGTAACAACTTAAATATTGCATCTAAACTATAGACATATGCCAATACCCCCTCTGTCCTCTAATATAGTGTATTCAAGCATTCAAAAATTATATCCAAATATAAGGGATTCTAGGGGACAAGAGATAGTTTGGCATTATAGTAGCACAAATTTGGTAGGTATTATATCGTTGATTATCATGTACCAACAAATCTCTATTAATCATGCTGATGATAGTATCTGATTAGGAAATAAAGTAAGGGTATATGTGTATTTTATATTTTCTTTTAGTTTGTCATCAAATCTCTAGAATGCACAATATTATAAGACGGGGAGTATAAAAGCCTTATTTAGGTCCTGTTCGGTTGGTAGAATTTTGGCTGAAACTGACTGAAAAACACTGTTCTGACTGAATTGTTATGAGAGAAAAACACTGTTCCGGCTGAAAAAAGAAGCCGAACAAGCCGAATATGGGGTAAGCCGAACGGGGCCTAGTCTCATGTATCTAATTAACCGCATCTGTCATTATTTAAAATAAAATATACTAACTCCTATATCCTCATCAAAGATTTTCCAACAAAAACACATATATTGAACACACGTAGATGTGATGCCTATGTGAAAAAATAAGGTTGGGAATGAAAAAACATGAGTATTGGTAACTAGACTAGAGTTTATGAAAAACAGGTAAAAATTACAGAGTATCTCTTTGTGTGTATTTGCATTAGGAAGTTATCAACAAAGCAAATGTATATTTAACAATGCGTGCAATTCCATATCATCTATCCAAGCAAGCTTGCAAAACCGGTGGCCACGGGAACTCACACCTATATGCAGGGGCGGATCTAAAGGGGGGGGCTGCCGGGGCTCAAGCCCCCCCTACCGCCGGCGAGCCCATGGAGCCCCCCCTGAGCCCCTCCTAAAAATTTTCGCCATTGCTGCTGTCTGCTTTGAGGAGAAGAAGTTAGATGCGTGATGTATGGAGGTTGAAGAAGCTCTCTGTTCACTGCAATACTGCATCCATCCACGTAACTCACATCCTAGGCCTCTATTACGGCCCATCAAGGCCCAGCGTCATCCGCATCCCTTCAGTCCATTCGCATTGCTGCAGCCAGCAGCCAGAAGAGGCCCACGTTGGGCACTGGCCAGGGCGCATAGCCAAGTTGTGATTATTTTCTCTTTTTTTTTAATTCTGTATCACTTGTCTACTAAGTTTTTGTGGAAGAGTAGCATATCAATTTTTGTGCTATGAATATCTCTTGGAAGTAGTAGCATTTTTTTAGAGAGGCTTGTATATACATGTGCAAGATCCAATACATATGCCACGTTCGAAGATTTTCCAAAATGCACGTTTAAAAAATGTTTGCCGTATCAAGCACCGGGCCTCAATGCCTATATACCATCACCGACATCAACATCAGTCACTATGTTACCCATACCGCTAAGATGACACACTTGTATGTTCAGCCCCCCCCTGTTATATTTTCCTAGATCCGCCACTGCCTATATGCCATCTTTTCCATACTACCATCCGCCACAGACGCCACCTCCATGGTCTTGAGGTCAATGGAAAAGTGCCAGTGTTGTTTTAGATCCCACCAAGATATGACAACGAACCCCACACCTCTCTTTCTGATGGTCAGAGATCCATTGAAGAAGGATAATGGGTAGTCAGGAAGGTCGCAGGTAACCTTGGACAACAGGATCTTGTTCTCCAATGTCCACTCTCCATCCACGCTCACCGGTGCAGCAAGGCTTTTTTGCTCCCGGTTGGGAAACCCCTTTAGTCCCGGTTTCCCAACCGGGAGCACCAATCCGGGACTAAAGGTATCCTCCTTTAGTCCCGGCTTGACGTCCGGAACTAAAGGGAGACCTTTAGTCCCGGTTGGAAACACCAACCGGGAGTAAAGGGGGCCTCCAGGCCTGGCCAGGGACCACCACGGGGCAGGACATTGAGTCCCGGTTGGTGTTATCAACCGGGACTAAATGTCCCTCTCTTTTTTTCCTTTTTCTGGTTTCTACTTTTGGTTTCTTTTTTCATTTAATGATTAGTTTTGATATTAAAATACATTTTCGAATACGCTGCTAATAGTAATATATATGTGTACTTCGCACGCGTAAGTTTTCGTTCGAACAC